TCTTCTCCTAAGCTCCATGTTACATCCTCAGCAGAAGCCATGCCTTTTGGATATTTATCAGAATTCAAACTAGACTAATTAAAAATCCTGCTGACAGTTGTTCTGATCTGACTTTGACTGGTGTTTGATAGTCATTATGGGCAAATAATGAATCGGGGCCACAAACGCAGCAGCTGCCAGCTTAGCACTGCATTGCAGCTAACTAGTAAAGGCGTCTTGGTAGTAATGAATGCTCCTATCGACAAATTCTCTGGTCCCAGCAGAGAGAGAAACATGAGACAAACAATGAGATGATCTTTTGCTGCCGATGGGTTTTAATTTTTGTTTTTTCCGTTGTGGAATAAACCTTTTAACACTGCTCACAGAAACGTAAAGTCCATGCATTTTATATTATGTCTTTAATTAAAAAACTGAACTAATTGTATTAACTAAACCACCCTTAGTGGTGGGTGGGTGAACATGTGCAGAATTTATGTAGGTAATCACTTGCTGTAAACATCATCAGAGAGGTTGAAGGTTAAAGAAAAGCGAATTAAAGATCTGAAATGTGCTCTCTCTGCCAGGAAGAAAGCAGTAATCAATATTAGTATGGTTGATTTGGATTATAATCTTGGATTCACTCTGTCATGAGTTGCTTTGTGTACATAAAGGGATATTAAATGGGAGCAGATTGGTTATGGTTTATATTTGCTTACATCTATGTAATCTGGGACCCAGATAAATTCTTTTTTTAAAGTGCCACAGAACTTATGGTTTTGTTAAAATACTCTCTGTGCTTTGAGTTCTTATAATCTCCAAAAACAAACAATAGTCCAAATTATGAAGCGCAAGAGAATTGTCCATTTTTTTAAAAGACCTCTTACATTGGATGTGAGCATATTGGCTCGCATGAAGGAAAATACTGGCACGCACTAATTGGGCCAAATGGCTGTTTCCGCACTCTACAATCTATGTAATTCTATATTGTGCACTCTGTCTTCAGCTCCTTGACTGGGTTATTTTGCTTTTGTCAGCAAATAGTCTCTGGCTCTTTGCTAAAGTCATCTGACCACAACATGCCAGTAACTCTTAAAAAAATTATATTTTAAAAATACATACTGCTTCTTACCAATGTCCTTAACCTTGAATAGTCACTTGAAAAGAGTGACTTGTATAATATTTTTTAAAAATTACATTAGCTTTTTTTTAGTTTAAAAGAAAAACTGACTGTGATGTGACTTGCAGGCTGGCCAGGGCTGTTTTCGCAAATCTAAGACTGGGCAGTGAAGTATCACATGACCTCTCCTGTAGGCAGAGTTGGACTTTAGAGAAGCAGAATTGATGTTGCACAGGTTTCGTTAAGATAGGTGAAATTACAATTACTTGTGAAACCACTTTTAAAGGCCCATTTCTCAAGCTACTCTCACATGTAAATCAATTTTAGCTCATGTGTCAAAAACAGCTTTTGTACTGCATTTTTAATATCGATTTGATGCAATTGCTGAAAGTACAGCCTAAAGTTTGTATAAATGTCTGAGCTGGCCTGTTCTCAAAGAGCTCTGTCAGTGACACTTCATAACTCCATATGTCCTCTAATAAACTTGTTAAACTTGTAAATAACAGTCTCATTCTCGCCGCCTGGCTACTCTCTGCTGTACGCACTGGCTGTTCTGGTTGTCTCCAGACCTCAGAGCACATATTCCTTGTATCACATAGTCTGCTTGTACAGGGGTCATCCGATTTCAAAGGAAACAAAAGTGTTCACTCTACATAGTGACTGTAACCAGGCTGCGTTTACATCTAGTTTATAATCTAATTCAATAAATTCCTTAAATATTGAAATGAATTACCTTATACCTTTTGTGGAATCCCGTAGCATAGTGGTTAGTGTGCTTGCCTCACAAGTGATAAGACTCGGGTTTGATTCCTCGGCGGGGCGAAACGTTAGGCAAGTTTCCTTACTCCACACTCCTCTATTTACCTAGCAGCATGTAGAAGTTTGGGGCATAGTTGCTGAAGACTACCAAATGTGAGGAATGGTGAGAGCGAAGGTTTGGACTGAACGCCAAGGTTGCACACTGGTTTGGTGAGTTTGAGAAGGGAGCGAGGAAGGTTAGGGAAATCAGAACTGGAAGTGAACAGGTGTTGGTAGGAGCTGAGGAGGATGGCTTTCGCCTTGTTCATGTTGATCCACAGGAAATTAAGGCTCATCACAGAACTGAATTCCAGCATGAATTGCCACACAATAGAGAAGGTGTAGAAGTGAAGCTGAGGGTGATGTGTTCTTAACTTTACCAGTGGACAAACTGTTGAGTGTGGATTTGTATCAAAAAGTTTATTCAGTGGATTTCACTAGTCACAAATTGGATTCTGGGACAATGCATATGGTTCATCTATTGGACTGAAATCAGTGCAGCTCTACTGCAGAACCAAGAAACCCACAATGGACAGAGGTATTGCAACCAGTCGGAGAAATTTGGGCTGCTCTTTTATTGCAATTTAATTTCCCTTGATGCACTCACCTTTTTGTCCTTTTGGAGAAGTGCATTCACTTTCTATATCCAGCAGTCAGTCTGGCTGAGATTGGGTACTCCTTGTAGAAGCAGTTGCTGTCAACATTTGTACGTGGTTCTGTCAACCAGCTTATGCAGGTTGTTCACACTCGGTGCTCCACATTTAGGAAGCTGCCCATCCCGGCTACTGTGGATACCTCTGACCAGCACTGATACCATATGTAGTTGCACATGTTTGCGGTTTAAAAAGTTCATCAAGGGAATTCCATGGTCAGATTCCATTATCAAGACTTTCACCTTTAGCTTCCCAATAACATCTGTACTATGTTGGTGTAACTGTTGGTGTAGTGCTAACCTGTTCAGCCTAGAACATCACTGGTTCTGTCTTGGTATGTGGTGAATGAGCTGATTTAGGCCAGAGCTGCTATCATTGTCCTCAGCAAGTGAGTGGACCTTAGGTGAAGCCAGGGAAGGACTCAGTTTTCATCCTGCCATAGTTGAATGGTATTCATCCTGCCATAGTTGAATAGATATCCTTATTCTCTTGCCTCATCCATGATGAGGTGGTCACTTGCGCAAGGCTCCAGAGGGTGACTTGTGATAGTGAAACTATGCCAGTGAGAGTCAGGAGAGGACAAAATTAGGAAAATAAAATTCCTGACATCTTTGAAAAAAAGTTAAGCAGATTTTATAGCTGTGCCATAGGAGAAAGTGAAATTCATTTATTCCTCTTTTATGATATGTCTTTTTAAAAAAATAGTCCAAACTAAAAATGTTTATCAAGTGGAGGGTGACCAATCAAAGGCAGAAAGCTATCATGGTTACCTGTAAAATATAACCAGACAAGATACAAATGTAGTCAGATAGAAAATATAATGAGTATGATATGATATCCCACATAAGGGGATAGACAAAAGAATGAAAATTGATGAGAAGTCATCCAGAAATGCCTCCTATGATGTGTGGTTACTGTATCTTGTGGATTTTCGAAGTTAGCATATCTCTGACCTGGAATAAGGTTTAAATCATTTCCTAAATAAAGAGATATATTTTAAACTGATTTAAATTGACAAAGACATTCACAGAGTCATACATCTGTGCATTTGAAGCCTCTAGAGAACTGTCCGGGACAGAGCTGGGAGGACAACAGAAACTGGTTACAAATAAAACATGGCATGGTCTTAAACCAATTGTGCATGGTTATCTTTGGTAGAAAAGAAAACTAATTGAACATGATAAAGTGTAAAGTTAATTAACACCCATAAGTTTACTGATTACCTTCACAGCATTATATTGTTCATTTGTTAGCAGCTTTCCATCCCAGCTGTCTCCCTTTTACCGAATGTCATTGGTAAACAATAGAGACACCATAACAAGTCGTAAATGGCCCTAGTGACAGCAGCCCCTAGTGAAGCTGCATCTGTAGAAAATGATTGTGCCTGATTACCTTTTGAAGACAGCAGTGCGCACATTGCATACTAAAAGCAACTGTCACATTGCTCCGCTTTGTGCCTGGTGTATCTGTTACACTATTGTAGTTGGTAATGTGAATCTTTGCCTTAAAGTACCCTTTCACCATCACAAATCTTATTGTTTGTTGGATCTGAAGAAAATGCATTCAAAATGGCACTAATATAATACTATACTAAGGCTTGTGTTCATTTAGTACCTGTAGTACAGATGTTTGTGTCTGAGTAGAACTTTGAATAGAAAGTGCATTCATTTATTTAATTTCTCTATTTTCCTAAACCACAATAAAGACCTCAAATAAGAAGCAAGCAATATTCAGACAGCAACTGGCTAACTGAAACCTTCTGCTGTAAAAAGGGGGAATTGAAGTGAACCCATTAGCCCACTGAAAAGGCTATGTGTGTTTTGAAAGTGTTGCATTAGATGATTGAGGCGAGAGAGGGAGATGGACTAAACTATCGGTGCTTGAAATGAGTTGCAGGTTTTTCATTAGTAGGCTAGATACTTGATGAACTGACATTCAAGTAATTTTCATTTTCATATTATGTTGTCTGCCACCTGAATTATTTTAACTGCTGTGAAATCATTGAGAACTTATAAATAGACTTAAATTATTATTATTTTTATCTTCCCTTATATTGAGATGGTGAGGGAATTGATGTATAGAATATTTTTGTTAGAATTTGTTACTAAAGATTCATCAACCGTTTCCCAAATTACATTTTGGCTGTATTAATTTATTATTCCTGCATCTAACATAAGTGTTTGTACAACTGAAAAACTGCAGCTGTCAAAAGATTAACCAGCTGAGGAGTGTTGTCAGCATTAGTTCAGGTCTAATAAATGACACTATGAAGCTATTTATCAATCCCTAATCTGGAATAAAAACTATTGGCCTGTGATTAATCATATTCTCCTTGCAAGCTTTGACTATAGTTGTGTAATTATTGCGTTCATTCTCTGATCAGGCATGTTGAAGAGGCACAGAAATGCTTATCAAGAATTTATTTAAAAAGAAGACTCATACAATTCTTTCAGGTGTTGGTGCTGCAACAAGCGGCAACCTTACATTCATGGTTGGTGGACTGGAAGAAGAGTTCAACGCGTCTAAAGAACTGCTGAACTGCATGGGAGCCAATATAATTTATTGTGGACAAGTCGGAACTGGCCAGGTAACTACAGAAAATAAATAATATGAGATAATAATAACAGCCCCTTGTATTTGATAATGGAACATTTCATCCACAAATATACAGTCAATTCATTTTACAGTATATTCTGTGAAGCGCTTTGAGATGTCGAGAAGACGTGAAAAGCGCTATATCAACTGCAAGGATTATAGTGTGTGATAATAATAATCCTTTCATTTTGATATATCGCCTTCCTCATTAGGAGGATGTCTCAAATTAATGTGCAGTGACTATTTTGTAGGCAAACACTGCAGCCAATTTGCTCACAGCAAGGTCTCACAAGTAGTCATGGAGTGAGTGACCAATTTTATCTGGGGTATTGTTGGCCAGGACACCAGTAGAAACTCCCTTCTCTTTTTGAATAGTCCCATGGGATCTTTAAAGTCCACTTGATCAGGCAGAACAGACCTCAGTATGATAGCTCAGACAAAGGATGGCGCTTCATTGGAGTGTCAACCTAGATTATATGAGTTCAAAGACCCAACTAGGGGCATGAATCCATGGCCATCTAACTGCGAGGTGAGAGTTCTATTAACTGAGCCAGGTTGAGACTTAACAAGTGTTAGAATTTGTCCAAATCTTTATTTTGAGTAGTTTTGCTTCTGTAAATCAATTGATACCGTGGATATAGAATACTGAATTACAACAATAGTTTAATTAGAAAAAAATGCAACTTTATGGCACCTTATTTTGAAATTTCTTAAAAGTACTTTATGGGTAATTCCTTTCCAGTGCAGTAATTGTTCTTGTAGGTGAATGCAACAGCCATTTGCATCACTAAGGTCTCGCAGACAAACTTCAGATAAATGGCCACTTTTATCTGGAGGATTATTGGCCAGAACACTGGGAGAAAGTATTAACAGTTTTAAGAAAGGACCAATGTGTTAACAGGTAAAGTGTAGTGACAGTATTTTTAGGTGAATGCGACAGCCAAATTGTGCACAGCAGTGTCCCACAAACAGCAGTGAGGTGAATGGCCAACTTTATCTGGGGAATTGTTGGCTGGACACCAGGAGAAACTTCCTTCTCTTTTTAAATAGTGCCATGGGATCTTTAACAACCACCTGAACAGACTTGTAGGACCTCAATTTAATGTCTCAGTCAAAGGACGATCCATCACAACAATGCAGCAGCACATCCCCAGTACTGCCCTGGAGTATCCAAGACTGTGAAAGTTTAAAGTCCTACATGGGATTTGTACCTAAACTTTCTGCCTCCAAGGCGCCTAAGCCAGGCTGATGGTCTTTCAAAAGAAGTGGAGAAAGGTGGTTCCAACGCTTCTCATTTTAAATATCTTAATTGCATTTCAAATCCTTATCTACAAAAGAGCAGAAAAGATTTGTTTTGCTGGAAGATAAAAGGCCTACATGTCACTTTAATGTCACTCGCACTTTCCTTTAGTGTGATTTTTTTTGCAGGCTGCAAAGATCTGTAACAACATGCTGCTGGCTATTTGTATGATTGGAACTGCGAAACCATGAATCTGGGAATCAGGTTTGTTTGTTTCTCTTACTTTCACTTTGATAGCAGTGGGTTAGTTAATGCTGGGTTTATCTTACAGCCACAAACAACAACAAATTGCATTTATGTAGTGCTTTTCACGTCAGGAGAATGTCTCAAGGCGCAGAAACAACAATGTCACTGATGCGAATCGGGTTGCGGGCAATGTTATGGCTAAACAAGGTTATATCGGGGCCACCAATGTGCTGTAATTTACATCCTTTTTTGAGTTTAGTTTTCGCTGATAGGCAGCTAAGTGCATGCTGCGAACACAAGTGATATTATTGCATGACTTGCACAGTGATGTCATGCGAATATTACCTCCATGACATCCTGTCTGAGGAATCAAACCTGCCTGTGTATCACGTGCTGGAACCCACATGGAACTAGGACAGCAGCAAAAAGGTAGCAATGACCAGAGAACGACACCAGAGTGAAGGTGGCAATTGATCATCACTCTCTCGTTTCTACTACATTGCTTTGGTGTTGCCCCATTTGTGTTCCAGGACAGAACACACATGCACATAGCTGACAACCTCATAGGACATTTGGCAACATCATTGAGTGAGGGAAATTCCACCTGGCTGCAGATTTATTCTATTTATCTTGCATTTCACGGCATCCAGAAATAGGTATATTCGTAAAAAAAGTTCACTTTGAAGCTGGCTTTCTATAAGGTTCTTTTAAGTACAACAGAAAACTGACTCGAAAGTTGAGACTATTCTAAAATTTTACATGAATTGAATAAATCTATTTGAAGCAGAATTTCTGTGTTATGCGTTGTTGGTCACCTGACGATCTTACATATTTTGAAATTCATTACTATGCTTAAGCATATCCAAACCACTTTTCCTGTTAAGAGAATTCCACATATGCATGCCACCTGCACATGGAAAATGCTCTGTGTCTGGAATGGAACGCACACTCTCCCTCCCTTGAGGAACGCCCCCTGCTTGCCTATTCCGGTGACTGTTAGGTTCAGGTTGAAGAACCAAGACTTAGGGATCCCAGAGTTTATGTTAGGGCACTGCTAGAGTTTAACCAGCCCAGACTTTGGCGCACTGTCTGGCAAGCTTTATGGTGCCTAGCTAAGACATCCCTACCCATTGCTTTAGCTTACAGAGTTAACAGGAGATGGGTGACTGGTCTGCCTCCTGAAGCTCTGCCAGTAAGACAGGCTGATTAGGCTGTCACCAGTAGTGGCCTGAAATACTGTGGACCTTCTGGTTCAGGAAATGGACTACCATTTTCTCTTTGACCGTGTCTTCAGCTCCCCTCTCGACTCTCTACCCCCTCCTCGCTCCCTCCCTTCCCTCCCCTCAGCCTGACCATTTCCCCCCTGCTCAGGCTCTGACCCAACTGTCCAGTGCCTTGGGACGTCCTCCCGACATGAAAGGCGCTCTATAAATGAAATCTTGTTGTTGTTGTTGTACCGAGACCACAACAGAGGGACTCGATTCTGACATGCCAATCAGATTCTGCTTACCTCACCCCAAGGGGCAGATGATCTGTGATAACCTCATCCCATTGATGTAAGTCATCTCATTGAGTACAACAGAGGAGCTAGTAGAGAACCTGCTGAAATGTGCAAACCAATTGTAGGCAACAAAAAGTATCCCATCGGTGACACCACTGGAATCACAAAACAAAGCGGCCATTATTTCTGTGGATTTGATCAAGTAAAATTTAGAAGACCGTGTGTCACTTTTGTTACTGTGAGGTGAAGGACCACATCCAACCGCCCACCCCCCCCGACCCACCCATCACATTTTAACATTGCATGGTAGGCTCCAGAGCTTCATTGGCAAAGACTAACTGGAAGCCTGAGACCAAACAAGCTGGCATTCTGCTGGGAAATACTGAAGAAGAGAAAATGAAAAATTATTTTTTAAAAAAAGTTGTTTGAACTGAACCTGATGTTTTACTCTGTACTTTTGGGCAGTAAAATCTAGTGCATACATTTTACTTAATGCAGACTTTTATGACCTATGAACCTAGGGTGTTGATTTATGTATTGGTGTCAGATCTCTTTTCTGCCTGTATAAGGTTTATAGGTGATAGGTTAGCATCTACATATGTATTTGTGTTTATACCATTATGTTCCTTTTTGGGCCCCTGAATTGTTTTCTAATCAGTTTCATTCAGCTATTTTTATAATTTGTTGTCTTTATGGCCATGTCCAAGAACCGTCAAATTTCATTGCAATCAAGGTTTGCAACGTCAAGTGCCATGTAGTCTTGAGTGCTCAGACCTTCAGGATTATGAGGTGGATATTTTTATGTTAACACTATTATCATAATAATCTTTGCATTTGATATGCATATTATCACGTCATCGATGTCTCAAAGCGCTTCACAGGATGTACTACAAAGTAGTGTAACTGTTTATTTTGTGGGCTAACACAGCAGCGAATTTGTTTACAGCAATGTTCCACAAACAGCCATGAAGTGCATGACCAATTTTATTTGGGGGATTGTTGACCAGGACTCCTCTACAAGGTCATATTCCAGAGGTCCACGGGATTTTTTATGCCCAACTGAACAGGCAGACAATACTTCAGTTAAATATTTCATCTGAAGAACGGCACTTCCGACAATGCAGCACACACCCAGCAATTCACTGGAGTATCAGCATTGAGCCATAGAGTATATGAGTTCCAAGTCCCAACATGGGGCTGGGAATAGTTTGTGCAGTGTTTGTACATTATCCACTTGTCCAAACTGGAGTATTTGTATCATTCTTGCAAATAGTGAACCATTCGCTGAACAATTGGTTCAGATGTTGAATTATATACTTAAAGCCAATGGTTCAGCGTACTCTGTTTTCCAAAACCTCCTGACATGGCTGATAAGTAAGTCATTGGCCAATTCAGGGCTCAATTGTAACTTTTGTTTACAATCAAAATTTGTGAGTTTTTCAGCTTTGCTTCTCTGGACTCTCATGGAATTATCCAAGTTTAGTGGTGCTTGTAACTAAATGTAGACAGACATGTGTTGGATTCTTATGGTCCATCTGCCAGTAGCAAAATTCTTTTTTAAAAAAAAATCAGACCATCTAATGATCATATCTTTCAATCGATGTTCGTCAGGTAAGAGGAAATTGGATAGCTATTATTTACCTAATAGCTATTGAATTCCCTGTTACCTTACCATTGGTGTATTTGTTTTTGTATCTTCCATTTTATTTAATATTTTATTTTAATTTGTGGTTTTGCTGAAGGAAAAGCGAGTTTACCGATGACTATTATAGTCATAAGCAAATGCGGAACAGCTATAAAGAATATAACCTTCCAATTAAATAAACAATTTACAGTAAACTCCTGATAACTCGACCCAGGTTTAACTTGTCGCTGCAATTTAAAAGTCAACATGCTGTCAATATCCCGGCCACATTTATTTATATTTTTATACATGTACCTAAATCGCCACTCCGGGTAACTGGTCACTGAGCCCTTTTCCCTTGGAGTGATGAGTTATCAGGAGTTTTTGGTAGTTGTTTTGCTTATAGAGGAACTTTACTGAAGAGGGGAACATTTTTATTTCCCCCCACTCCCATTTAATTACCGCAGAACTAGTTTTATACTACAGCAAAGGAGATAATGTACTTTTTTATCACCTTCTCACAGGGACACCCAACATTTTGGGTCTGACCATCAGCCAAGATCCGCTCAGGTAATGTCAATGGTGAGTATGTGAATTAGTACCAACTATCCTCCCAATCCCAAATACCATTTGGGAAGCTTGAAGGATTTTAAATTCCAGTGGTGCTCTGCGTACAGCTATTCACTCAACCAGTGGCAATGTGGAAAGTGGATCAAAAAGTACAATATCATTTTGTCAGGTTGAAGATTTTTTTTGTGTGAGGGAGGGATGGATATTTCATGTTGATATTTCATGTTGATAATGCAAACCTTGAATTGATTTTTTTAAAAAATAGAAGTATCAAAGCAGCATATGTTTTAGCTGGCTGGATGTAAAAATGTTCCAAAAAGCAAGTTTGCTCATGGTTTAGCAGGGCAGTCCGTTGTGTATAAGCACAGTGGGTGTTGAGTGGAGGGACGTGAATTTCCAATCTCGCTCTGGGTTTCTTAGGAAAATGCCCACGTAAGTCATGTACATGTTGGAGGGAAAAATTATGAGCTGAGACTGTATCCATCACTTTTTGACTTCTTTGCCCACAAAATACACATGGTCGCACCACTTTACAGTATGTCCTGTGAAGCGCTTTGAGACATCTCGGCAACGTGATAAGTGCTATATTAAATACAAGGATTATTATAAATGGAAAGAAGTTTGGGAGTAGATTATCTGCCTGCCCGCTCAGTCGAAGAATCTTGAACATGAATCATCAGTAATTTAAAGAAATGATGAGAAACTCAAATAATCCAGGTTTACACTTTTTTTCCTCATCCCCAGCTCATAATAATGTTGAAAATAATCAATAAATAGCAATATGGGAAGGTAATTTGTGAAATTTGCAAATATGTTTGTAAATAATGAATCCTTAAGATCCCGAGTGTACCTCATACCAACCCTCCGTAAATGACTTACTGTGATCCTTTCATCGCAGTCTGACTGTTTTTGCAGGGTGCTGGCCTGAGACACATCCGGGTAACTGAGTATCCAGTATCCAAATTTTGTGAAATCGACACATTAGACTTAATTACTGAAGAAATACTTGTATGGCTCTTTATTACAGTGGAGCATCCTCATAGCACGGTGGTCGGGATCTATAAAATCCTAACTTGTGCTGTAACAAGCCCAGTTTCATTGCAATACCTGTTTTTGCCACATATGCACATAGCTATCCAGGTTGCTCCTTGAGCACTAGCCAGTTTCCGCACTAATCCCCCCACCTCCCCCAACTTCTTGTAACTGAATTTGTGCTAAAAGAAATGCATTATACTGGGGTGGCACTGTATTTGAAACATCTCAAAGAGCTCCACAAGCTCAAGTCTCGATGTGGATTTTCTTCTCTAACGCAGAGGATAGAGT